AAGAGCCTGGGTAAAGGACTCATCCCCAGCCTGCGGCGCTAGAGCGAGGGCCAGGTAACCCCCCGCACACCGAGAGCCTAGAAATATGCTTTGTTGCTGAACTACCAAAAAGCAAAAAGTTAGATCCGGACAGGATCCGAACTCACTACTACGCGCCTGGCAGATAGACGCAAATGCACTGCACCACCATGACGATGGGAACAGGCAGCGGGAAAGGCCTCTTCTCCCCTGGGGAGGGGGAGGCAAAGAGAATGGCGACCCATGATCCCAGAGGGAGCCCTACGGGCCACTTTACAAAATTCGGTTTTCGAGTCTGAATCAGCAGAAAATTTGTAAAGATAATAAGATGCGCATGATCCCCACCATCGAATACATAAGTTTTCAGCCCGAAATTCCATCTGGGCTTCGAGTTATGCCCCGGACACCGCGGCTTTTGGCCCATTTTGTTAAGGACTTTTTGGAAAAATGCTCATAAGAATTTTAGTTTACAAAATCTGCCAAAACGCAGGATTGTATCACAGGAGAATGTAATTTTCAATCTGCCCTCCAAAAATTAGCGCCTAATTCCATTTGGCTCGGGAGATATCCTCTGAACAAACCTTTTTTCGGCCAAGCTGTTAAGGATTTTTCACTATTTTGCTTGTAAAGCCGTTAAATGAAGGAATTTCGCAAAACAAAAAAATGCGTCACTGACAAATGTGTTTCTCCACCTCCATGCCAAAAATCAGCCGGAAATTCGGCCTGACGGCCGAGAAATCGGCTGTACAGAAAACAAACATACTTTTCTCGCTTATAGGATAGGAGGATTTAAAGCGCACGTTCAGGGAGGGGCCGTGTACTCGTCCCAACGTGTACACCCTATGGACGTAGGGGCCGCGCGCACGGCCTGCCCGTGCTGTGACAGGCCATTCCCCTCCTTTGCGGCGTGGGGCGCCCCTCGCCCCCTCGCCAGGTTGTAGCTGTGGCTGACTGGTATCCATCCGCGCCTCCCGAGCGGGGGGCCCGGGTTCGACCCCCGGCCACGGCAAAAATCTTTGCTTTTTTCCAAAAAAATGTCCCTGAACGTGCCCTTTAAGCAGTTCTCCCTTTTTCTAAATGGTTTGATTCTTCTAATGCTTTTTTTAGTTTAGTTTTTAGTAGAAAAATATTTATGTTTTTAGGCAAAAACTATTTTGTATCTTTGCATGGACTATTTCCCACCTTTTCGTGGATTCTAACGGTCCGCTGGTGGGCTTCGTATGACCTTGAGGCGAGGATTGCATTGCAATGCATTTCTGTGTCTCATCCCTTTCAAATAATCCGCCACCTCCTCTTTCTCCCCTTTCGCCTCCTCACCTCCAGAAATTGGCGTGTGAAAATGCGAAATGTGTGAGGAGCGAGGGTGGGATGAGGAGGTGGATGAGGAATCGAAAAGACATGTGATCCCATAGGTGGCGGACTATCGGTCCCATTGCTCGAGTAAAAAGAGGCAAAAAAATATTTTTCCATTCAGGGAGAAATGTTGGGTTTTTGCCAGCATATGTCTGCTTAAACCTTTTTCACAAGAAGCTTTGCTAGCCAGCCTTGGCAACGGTTTCACGGATTTTCGCAGTAGTAGTAGAAATTGGACATTTTCTTTCCTAGAAAGTTTTTTCATCCACTTTCCACAATAATCTCTGCTAGCTTACCACAATCGTCAGTTTTTGCGCTAAGAGTCCGTTTTTCCAAATCAATGCGCGAAACCTTACCTCCAGAATATCTGCAATTTTTCTTACTGGCCAATACCATTCCTAAATTTTTTTGTTGAATTTGTGTTTTGTCGATTATTTTTCGAACCTTTTCCTCAACGATCTTCGCTGGATAGCCACTTAAACAATATTCCCGTGTTTTTCCCCTTAAGGACCTTTTCCAATTTAAATAACTGTCTGCCAACGGACCGGCTATTTTTACCGTCACATTCCAACCTTGAGGCGGTCTGTGGATTGCCTGTTGAGCCCATTAAAAGCGTGAGCCATCCTCGTCCTCGTTCTCCTCCTCATCCTCCTCATCCCCTCTCGGGGGTCCGAAATGAGCGAGCCATTTCCGCGTTTTTCCCTTTTTGCCGCTTGCCTGCCATTTCTACTCATTCACCCCATTCTATGGCACAACCCAGACATTTCACTCGTCTCGGCTGGCGCTCAACATATGATCCCAGTGAACCACTTTAGGTTGGTTATGTTATTTGAAACACATGCGCTGATATGCAGGGTTATTTATAGTCATAGACGATAGAAGTTTGCGGAACATTTGTGCAGAGTTTCCGGTTGGAATCTCGAGTCAACCGTGGATAGGATTTTGACGGAAAGAATTTTTTTGGTACCCCTTTGAGACTTTTTAAACCTTTAAAGCTGACGATTTGATATAGATGCTTCATAGCTGGGCTTATTTTTAGGCTTAAGGTGTAAGGATTTTGCAGAAAATAGATAAAAAAACTTTCGGAAGCTGCTGTCGAGAGCAAAGCCCGAAATTCAGCCTCTTTAAAGATTTTGGTGCGGGTTTGGTTTCTTAGAAATGTTTGATTAATTTTTGCCGTTTTGAACCTCTTGTTTTTATTATAAATGAGAAAATTGGGAACTATTTCAAAATATGTATTGCAGTGTAAGAAATAGCATTTGATCTTCGTTTTATTTTTTACTAGAGCGCTTTTGACGCAGGTCTTTACCAAATTTTCTCATGTTTTTGAGCTTAATCCGGTGGCTTTATTGTTGATTCCCTCCTCTTCGCAATTTTCTTGGCGCAATGCCAATTCCGCATGCCTCGAAATGGTCCGCGCACTCCGAATTAGCCCCACTTTCGATCAGCTGCTCCTGGTTTCGGCCTGTGGGGCAAGTCTGTTTCCACCCCCCCCCGCGCGTGGAGACAATCAGTTTTTTCTTCCCGCGCATTTGTCATAGGAATTTTTCTTAATAGCAAAACCAGTTTCCAGACATTTTAAGGCTTCAAAGTTTTCATGAGCTCCTATAATAAAAGCCTATCACAAAAACATTGTAAAAGGGGTAGTTGCAAACTTTTTACGCTTTTCAATGCATTCTCAGGTTCATTGAATGTCCGATCCTTATAACCCTTGCAGAAAGACGGTGAATAAGGCAAATTGAGGGTTTTTCATGATTTTCCGAGCATTATAACTGTCATTAAATATTTTTCCCCGAAAGCCCTTTCGGAAAAACAGTCCAATCTGTTTTGTTTTTGCTTTTCGAACCTATTTGGAATTCCAATCTTATGGGTTGCAACGATTCTGCTTTGAATACACCCCAAAAAAATTCCCGATCCGGTGCCTTCCGACACAAAAACGTGTCGCCGCCACAGATCTAATTTCCGTGACTCCTCAGAGGGCTTTACGGGGGCTGTGAGAGTTCCGAATTGAAAAGCCGAGGGTCCGGACGAGACTAAAGCCCCGAAGAAGGGAAACGCCCAGGGAAAAGCCACTCAACACCCCCCGATCATTTGGCAGGGGGGAAGAAGAAGCCTCCCTCTAGGGGTCTCGCCCCTCACAAATGGCCGAATCTTGTTTACTGCTGTGCCCTATCGCTTATGTTGAGTTGAGTGACCATATGGAATAGCCAGTGACTAGGCGGAACAAACTGGAGCTTTAGTCGAAAATTTTTCGGACTAGAAGGTCGTACTCCTTTCATCGCCGGATCACTTTTTTTTTGAAAAATTGCCCCTGATCCACCCTAGCTTTAACTAGCTTGGGGTAATAATCCATTAATTGAAGTTAAAATGTCCAGTACGTTTGCACCTTTCAGGAAAGCTTCTAGAAATATTAATTTTTGAAAGATTGGTTTTTAAAAAGCGTTTTGCCTTGACGGATGCCTTTTGAATTGTCGATAAAATTGAATTCTTTAAATGGCAGGTCAGCTCCGCAATGATCTCTGCTAAATTGCATCAAATTGCAAATTTACTAAATTTTTTCATAAAATTTTGTTATTACACTAATTGAGGTGCTAAATGAACTCTGCTAACGGACAACCCCTGTTTTTTGCTCGTTCGACGAATTTTGAAGATTAGGCGTTTATCCGCAATCGGCAGGTCACAGAGGTGTCCACCAGGCCGTTTTGTGTTATCGGACCGGTCAGCGTTTTAGGTCTCTTTAAATCCGGCTTTCACGCTCGTCGATTTCAAATTTAAGATTTTCCATGCGTTTACTCTTCCCACCTTCATCACCATTCCCAAATCCGTAACGTTCGCACTGACCAGCTTTCCGGGGGTGATCCCCCGTTCGAAATGACTCTCCAGTCATCCTCTCCCGTCCACCCCGTTCCCGGGGTTTATATCCACTCTCCGGTGGATTGCCATAATTTGGGAAAGGGCCATCGGCCACTCCTTCCGATTCCCGAATGGCGAGGTCGTGGTAACCTTCTGTGTCTCTGCATCTCTCCCCCCTCCCTATTATCCGTTTCCAAGGTCACACCTTCTTCTTTTCTTCCTTCATGTTCTCACAACATGCCCTACAAAACATCCCATGTCTCGTCCAGGGAAAATGTCAACCCATACCCCTTGAGGGCCTATAATTTGGTGTCGACCGTTCGTCCGTTTTTTTGCGTGCAATCGGTATGGGGAAAACGTCGACCTTCTCTGGGGTCTTGTCTAAACATTTTCTTTGCACCTTGATGCGCTTTTTTATTTTACGATAACTTTCCCGTTTAAAGCCTTGGAAAGCTCTCATTATTTGACCGGAAGTGCCTAAAAAGTATCTGATCTGAGAAGCCTCGATAAAAAAATCCAATTTTTTCAGATTTCTAGATTTTAGGAAGTCTTGGTCAGGTCATGAATGGAAGGCTAATTTTACCTCTCTCTTACTCTCTCTCACTCTGTCTCTCCGGCTCTCTCTCGCTCTCACTCTTAATTCTTAATTTGATTTTTAAGGGTTCCTAAACTTCATCTTTTACAGGTACCACCCATCGCCATTCACCTCAACAATTCGTCCCCCACCCGCCTCTCCTCTGATACCCTGGCAATCCTAATATTCCGATGGTGACCTGATGGTCCTACGATTTCCCACCCCACACATCGGCTCATCCATTTTCTTTTTAATTTTCTGGGTATTTCACTACGGGTTCGCTTCTTTCGTCGAATTCCCGCCGTACAAGCCGAGCGAGCAGTATAAAGTTAGTCTAATTTTATTGAATCCAGCGTATATAAATAACTTAATAGGTCGCGCAGTGAAAATTCCTGAATTTGTCTAGCTCAAAAATTTTAGTGCGGCGCCTTCTTGCGTGGACGGGTCGACGATCGGGCACTTTCGCTGTACTACAGCGGCATACGACAATTTGTTGATTGGGTGTCGCAGCCGTTTCCGCATCGGGGTACGTTTTTGGATTGAAAAGTGTGATCTCTCTCGCTCGCTCCCTCTCCCTCGCTCTCTCTCTCTCTCTCTGGCTCGCTCTCTTACACCCGCTATCTTAACCGGCATCGCTAATTAGCAAATTATCGATGTTTCCGATCAAACGACATAATGGTCTTGACTAACGAGAACCAGCGGTTTGACGATGCCATTTAAGGAACTAAAAAGCGCAAATTCGACGCCTTTTTTCCACTACGTCCCGACAGCCTCGCACCGCCAAAAAGCACTTCCAAGACAGCCTTTTAAGGCCATTAGAAGGCGAATAAGACAGTGGCGCCGGATTATAACTATATTTTGCCCGTAATCTGGCTTGCTGCGTACCTCTCCAGACCTAGTGAAGGAACAAGGTCGTTTCCGGAGCGTTCCAACGCCTTGAAACTAAATTTCGGTCACTGTTTTACGTAATAGTAGAATCCCAAAATTCCGATGACCGGCTTCATTCATCGTTCAGAAGCACCTTTAACCCATGGCGTTGGAAGCCTTCCGTCGAGTCGATTTTTGCACTGCCCGGCACCTCTAGGACAAAATTTCGGCTTAAATCCACCCCTAGCAAAACCGTAAAAGCCGAGACCGAGAACAATGGGACTTCAATGATCGTCCAATCTGCCACACCCCAGCGCCAGACGCGCCAAATAATCGCTTTATTTGGGGTGGATGGTGTGGCGACGGAATGGGTCCGGTTTTCGCTACTTGCCCCCCTTTTCTGCCGTACCTTCCTTCCCGAATACCCAGGGGGGCTTTTCACCTTTCGTATTTTCTGGCATTGGACGGTCGAGGTGAGGGCAGCGGAATCCCATTGGGCTAATGGGTTCCGAATCTTTTGAGGGGCGTTGATCGGAAGGAGATGGAATGGGAACCGGGCAAAGACAAAAAATTGACTTCGATTAAATTAACTGCGCATAATGAGCTTTAATTTTACCGTATTTTTAACTGAATCTAAAGGCAAGACAAAGTATCCACATGGCTGGCAAGGTATCCACATTGACTATCGGTGCCCGACGGGCTACGCTCATGCGACACTCCACTATTTCATTGCGTAATGGACCCCGTTTGACCAACAGTCGTCAAATTTTTTGCGTCACTGCGAGCGTTGCGGTTGGTGGTACGCCAAATACGTTGAAGTATCCTGAATCGTGAACATGGTTCCTGAAATTCATTAATCTTCCCTAGCCTGTCCCATTAGTACGTATCATAGCCTCGAAAAAACTTATGGCGCGTAATGCCACACGAAAATGTCGCGATAGCGGACGGTCTACGCGCCTTGCGTTTCGCTGTCACGTCCTACTCGGTAAAGAAGCCGTAGACAGCAAAATCCATAGTCACATCTTGCCCGCTCCTTTAATCGGTATTACCCTTTTGAGGCCCTCTTTCTTAAGTTGTGTGATGGAACATGACCGCCACTCCTCGGTCAGATGCGCATTTTTTGCGTATCGCGTCCGTAGCGTGCGTATTTATTGATCATCTATAGCATCATGTCTTCCTGGGTCCTTTAATTTGGGCGGCATCCAGCTTCCAGCTTTTTGTTCCACTTTTTCTTTTGTTTGCCTTTCTTCGGTCACAACAGTAGACTCATCCGTTATTCCATTTGCCAAACCAGACAAAACGGAGCCCCGGACACTAACTGGAGGCGAGAGGGTGACTAAAGAAGCGCATCAGGCGCACTTCTTAAGGGCCTCGAGAAGCCTAAGCAGACCGACTCGAGAATGTGGGATTTGTCCATCTCGCAGGCGGTCCAGGTTTTCTTTGTGAGTAGTAGGGCGCGCGCGTAGCACCCGCTTTTTTGGGGGGTTGTTTGCCCACATAGTGTCCACAGTACACGGGAATCCAATGGACACCATGGGAATGTATTGGGGGAATCTGGATTTTGCGCCTTAAAAAGTATCGTACGGACAGGCAGGCGTGATCATAGGGGAATTCTATGGTTGGAATTTTAAGCGTTACGCCGCGTGACTCACGCTTGAAGATAGCGAATATCCCGTGAAGCTAGAGCTGCGAAAACCCTTGAAAATAATGCTATAAAAATTACATTAATCTGAGAGTCACTATCTAATTATACAGATGCATATATATCGCTTAAAACTTAATAAAAACCGATATTTTTCCAGAATTGCTTTCGAACGATGCTCTCCGCGGTGACTTCAAGGAGTGGCGTGACTCACTGGAGAACCGTTCCCTTCAGGTAGTCCATTTGTCATATTTCAGTTTTCTTGGTGTTCTTTTGCCAAATCGGGTAGCTAGTCATCGAGCGCCTTCCCAGGTCTGTTTTCGTCTCAATTACCGAAATCATTCTCGAGCTCTGCGGGCTAGCGAGAGAGAGTGAGAGCGAGGGAGAGAGAGAGGGGGGAGGGAACGACTTAGACAACGTAGTAGGCTCTATTCCACTGTTAGGCGGCGAGGTTGGGGGGCTCGGAGGCCCGGAGGCGATTCTGTGACTAACCACGTAACCGCATAATACAGCAGCATACGCATTGGTGACAGCAGAAATTATTAGCAGTGGTAGTAGTGGCCGTTAACGTAAAAGCAAACTTATCGTCCCGCCTAAGAAAACGTGCTCCTGGGCATTGGCTGCAGAAAACGTTGACATGAGACGTAGCTATAAAGATGTATAAACCCGCGTAATAATCGATAACAAACTGTGCCGTAGACCTTAAACGTACAGTAAATTATGCCTATTTTAGTGGTTTTCGTGGCAACAATGGTGGTTGACGGTAGCCGGAGGACTTCTACTGCTCTCCGTCCTCTTCCCGATCATCTACATTTTGTACAGGTAATAATCAAGCCTATATTTTTTGATTCTAATCTCACTCGTCCAGATGTTGTCTCTGTTGTTGCGAAGATGACGAGAAGAAGACGACCACCGACTCTCAGTACGACGGGGGCAAGCGGAATTTTTTGAACATTTGCATCGCCGTGCTGATCGTCATTAATGTGTAAGTTTAGTCAGTTGACGTACGAGATTCTGAGCTAACTTTTCCAGCTTCGCTGCCGCTACCCTCCTCGTTACATCCCAGTACGCAGAGTACGGACTTGACGAACTGCCGAACCGGTTGAACCAGTGCGTCGACGACCTCAACCTGTATAAACGCGAGACTGACTTGGTAAATTAATGTTTGGAAGTCAAACCAAACTCGATACAGAAAATCCGCAAGTTGCTGATCGACGACTTCAACCTGGTGTCCAACTCGCTGATGCAACAAATTGCTCACGCCGGGCATGCCGTAGTTGATCGGGTCAAGCGGGCAACTGGTGCTCATGCCATTGATGTATTCTTGAACATCACACAAGGTAAGTCACGTCAAGAAGTGGCTTATCGCTATCTCTCTCTCTCACTCTCGCTCTCTCTCTCTTTCTCTCTCTCTCTCTTTGTCTGTTTTTCTTTCTCTTACCTTCTTCCGCTCTCGGCCAACTCCAAGCTGTTCAAACTCCGCATTTTCAGGTGCCTCCGACGTGCGCTTCATCCTCTCCGAAGTCACCCAACAGACTCGAGAACTCAATGAAGCCGCCGGGCAGTTTGCTGTAGAGTTCGGACGGTTGCGGAAAACAGCCGAGAACGAGATTGCTCAATGTACACATGTAGGCTTTCAAGGGGTTTTAAAATATCATTAATTTCAGACAGAAACCGATGCCCTGAAGACGATGTGCCTCCAGGCGCAGCGACTTTTGGACAACATCAGTAGCATCAAATTTGAGATTAGTGAGGCAAGGAGGACTTTTTGGACTTCGCTTTCTTTAATAGGGCTACTAATGCATCAATGAGTCGTTTTTCAGGAATTCCTGATGGGCGAAAACGTAAAGGCCTTGACACGGGTAGCCAACGCCGAGGTGACGACACTTCTCGAGCAGTCCAACCAGCAGTTTGTCGCACTTG